GCGGAGAATGCACTGACCCAAGGCAGGGGATTTTTGCAGAGGCATTCAAGTGGCAAGTATTCTAAGCAAGCTTCTACACTTGTACTTGTAATTGTAATTGATTAGATTACCAGGCCGTGGAAAGTCCCGACATTTCAGCTTCAAATGGTGGGGTCAAAACCAGGCGGCTGTCGTCGCCGCTTGCCGCCTTCTTGCAGAAAATCCAAGTGTGCCGCAGCGGTGTGGACCTTTGGTGAGGGAGAAAGAGAAGAAATAGGTAACAACACCAAAATGGAAGTACAAGAACAACAAAAAGTCTAAAGAAAGACAGACAGACAGACAGACAGACAGAAAGAAGAATGAAATGCAAGACAATGAAAAGTAAAATTAAGGGGCAGTTGGAAAAAAGTCATTTGGTCGCCTCGCAGACATCATGGCACCCTCCGAGCTTGTGAGAAACTTCTCAGGCGGCACTTGGCAGCATCGCAGCAGAAGACCAGGGTTTTGGATGGGAGACTGCAGCTGGACAAGTAGCAAGGCCAAAGGGGGCGACCAGAAAAGCAACGAACCCATATGATTCTTGGCGGTTTGCAGCATACAATAACATTGTTACATCATTCTTTAGCTTGGGCAGGCTTCTTGATGAAGATGACTGGGAAGTGAAAACCTGTGCGCTGGAATGCTTGGCAGCGCTAGGTTCGACGTGCTTGCTTGCCTGCCCTGCAGAGCATGCTTGGGGATTCCGTGGCGTTGCTTTGATAAATGATAGGTCGGAGAGCCCGCGAGCATGTGGACAAGGCGCTGCTGCTCTGTTGAGACGTCCGTGGCCATGTGGAACATACCTCAAGAAAGCCAAGCCGTGCAGGTGATTGGTCAAATGGGTGATGAGAGATACATCGTGCGTGCCAAGGCCCACTGCCTTATGTAATGTTTAAAATAATGCAGCGCAACGTGCAAGTAAGATGTGGACGCTAAGTCCACCTGGCCCAAGCATGAGGCATGTAGGCTTCACTGGTGCTAGCTTAGAACCAGTCATGTTCTCATCGATCAATCCATGGCTCGCATACGTGCAGATGCATTCTGGCTTGATTTTTTGTTAAACCTATTATATAATATATATATATATTATTGTAATTATACTGTTACTATTTGAGAGCGCAATGATCCAAGTTTGTCCTTGGTGTTTGAGTCATTGGAGGATTGAAATGCCACTGTGGGCATTGTGTCCGACATTGTGCTTGAGCTCAGGCAGCCTTCGCAGTGGGAAAGATTGGCGAGGCAGAGAGCATCAGCCTCAGCAAGCTGGCAGATCTTCTGGAGGACTCCGCTCAATTCTTATTTTTTGCCGGTGTTCCTTTGGGAAGACAGCAGTTCTTTCATGCTCCTTGGACCAAACAACTGATCCTTAAAAGACTGTTTGGCGACCTTGAGACACATTGACCATTTGTTTGAGTTCTTGATTGCACTTTCCATGTTTGCTGGAAGGACAACTGTCCAGCGGTAAAATCTGCTGCTGCATTGGGGCTGGCAGAGTCCAGGGCTCAAGTCGTTCAGAACGAAGCTCGCTCGATCATATTGAACTTTCCAAATAAACTTACTGTAAGCTTATATGGCTCATTTGTTATCCTTGAAGGCTGGGGGATGATGGTGCGGAGTACAGCCACAAGGCCTTAGGGTCATCATTTACACAATATGATCTGCCATGCAAGGTAGTGGGACAATGATGGCAAACACATGCTTATATAGGTGTTTTAAGAGTCTTTGACTTTTGCCACAACAAACACTTACTTCTGGGGTGTTGTACATTTGCGGACCCCGTAACTACATTCAATATAGGTGTTTTAAGAGTCTTTGACTTTTGCCACAACAAACACTTACTTCTGGGGTGTTGTACACTTGCGGACCCCGTAACTACATTCAATTTGCAACTCATCCAACTCATCATGAAAGGTCTTCAACTTGCTCACGGACATCAGTGCTGATGTCCGGGCTGCTGCTGTCACCGCACTAGCAAGAATGCGAGACCGAGGCTGTGACGGTCCAGCAAACCACTAGTTCACACCTTATAGAAAAAGGTGATGAAGATGATGGAAGATGAAGGCAAGGGCCTCCATAGAGGGGCCTTATCAAAGACGCCCTTTCCTTCCCTTTTTCATTCTTGTTTAAATAGAACTTATACAGACACCCCTGTGTTATCCAGCTCTGAATTGACAGGTCCCCACTTCGCGACAGTCATTGCCCAGCGGCTGAAAGCAGAAGGCGAAGAGCCCAAGGTGCGCATTGCGGTCCTGAACTCAGCTTGAGGTGAAAGAACAAATGTCAGTTGCGATGACATGGTCACTGTTCATCGAACATAATAGATCTCAAAACCTGCCAACCTTCAGACCTGCTCTCAAAAGATGAACTCCCTGCCCATCCAAAGATGTCCAAAGACTTGGAAAACGATGAAGGTGAGGAGTCTAGGACAATGAAGATGGTGATGAGGATGTGTAAGTGCTGACTCTGCCCTGACAGTAGGTGCTATGAAGCTGGCCAGATAGATTCACATGTCCAAGATGACCCGTATCACGAAAGGTTGCCTCAGGCACTCTGAGTTGAATTAGCTTGGGGGTAAATCCATGGAACTCCCGGTCATGGCCTTCACCCCACACATTCAGCTTGTCGACTGACGTACATCAATGCATTTCACTTTCACATCCTCACATACTCACTTCATTCTCACTGATCCTCACTCATCCTGCTTGTCTACATGATTCTTTCTGAGCCTCTGAGCTTCATCCTTGTCCTCGCGCTTTCCTTCATGTGTGTTCCGTGACTGTTGTTGCTCCCGATACCTTTGCTGGACCTCATGGTTTGCCGCTGCTGATTTGCTGTTGTATTTGCTGCTTCAGGCTTGCTGATGTGCTGCCGCTCTGCTGCTGGTCTACCGGTGCTGCTGCTGCTGCTGCTGGCTAATTGCTAGTCGTTTGCTGGTCTCGCGGTGGTGGTGCTGGTGCTGCTGCTGCTGCTGCTGCTGGTGGTTTGCAACGCATTTTTTCATGCGCTTTCCCAAATATGTTCATCCTGTGTTTGACTTCTTTTTGTTGCTCCCCATGCTTCTTGCTTGACCACATGGTTTGCTTCTGCTGTTTTGCTGCTTCTGCTTTTCTGGTTTGCCGCAGGTTTGCAACTGGTGCTGCTGCTGATATGCTGTGCTGGTTAACTGCTGGTTCCTGCTGCTGCTGCTGCTGCTGGTTGTCTGCTGGTCTGCTGGTGTTGCCGCTGCTGGTTTGCGGCTGCTCGTTTGCTTTTACTGGTTCACTAGGTTCGCACGCACCCGCCCCACAACTATCGCCACGTGACCAAGTGCTTCCCTCTGTCACAGATACCATCAGATACCCAACCCAACACTGTAGCCATATGCCCGTATGCCCTCTTTGGTTGTCCCTTATCCTTCCCTTTACCAAAAAGCCTTTCGCACCCTCTTCAAGTAGAGTGTCAGACACCGTTGCGTCACTTTGAACTCATTGAAATCAGCACATAAGGACGACAGCATTTGTTGCAACATAACATCGGGTGGAAACCTGTAACTAAGGTACTGTAATGCAAAGCGGAACCCATCAGTCAGAATGAACTGAAGGACAAGGGACCCACAACTTGTGGACTGTGAAAAGACCGTCGATGGAACATTGACAAAACTTGCTGGGGCGCCGGCATGTCGCCTAAGCGCGCTCAATGCAACACTGGAAACTAGGATAGAGTCCGATTCCGCAAGTGCACAGGATTCCGCAACTAGGATTCTGCAAAGCATCCAAGCAAAAGCAAATACAGGGGTGGGTGGGGTGGGGGGGTTTGGGGGGGACCATCGCGTTCGTTGAAATTGCAATCCAGAATATCAGTTTCAGAACACCAGTTGCAGAATCCGACTGTCCAGTTTCAGAATACCAGCTTCAGAATCCGGCCGATTAGTTTCCGCATCCGGACATATACAAAAACTATGGCAAAGTATGTTAGTGCATGACAGTCCATGTCATTGCACTGTTGTCAGAAGGATCTCAAAGCCGACACAGTATTGAGGGCAAGTCATGTAGCACCTCTTGTTGGAAAAACACACATGTCCCAAAAAGGGGAGCCACAATTAGCCACAAGGGACTACATCACCGGACCAACACTGTCCCAACAAAAGCGGAGTGTAGGACTGATGCACACTGACACCTGCAGGCCATGGAAGCACTGTCGGCATTGGAGGCACTTGTTTCTAATAGCTTCTTGTTACTAGCAGTAAGGCACTTGCTACTAGTAGCGATGCACTTGTTTGTATTAGCTTCTTGTTGTCAACACTTTGAAGTTGTTTTGATCGAAGCCATGAAATTGCTTTATCGCTGCTCAAGGAGCGGGCCATGAACTTCATGGATCTCATCAGAGAGCAGCAGAGGGACCGCAGCCTTGAAAAACAGTTCAAAAGTTTAGATAACGAGAGCACTCAGCAATTAGAAGTTTTATATAAGGGAACCTTTGCAGGATGAGATGCCAATAGTACGAGAAGCTGCTCAGAAATGTGCCTCAAACCGCACAGGTCATGAGGAGTCACGACGACTTGTTGCATTAATGCCAGGTTTGCAAAGACTTGGACAGCCTGGTTACAGAGACGCCTTGCAGGTGGACCAATGCTCTTGCACTCATGTTGGACTGGAAAGTGCATCTCCAGAGCTAAACAAAGCCTTTGATGGTTCAGAGTATGCACGAACGCTAGCAGGATGGTGAGGAAGAATGAGCCGATATCCTGACTTGGCAAGTCAACGAAGTGTACCAGGACCAGGAATAACATGCATCCGCTGTCCTCTTGGTATCCACAAATGATACTTCATATCATGTTGGAGCAAGTCATGCAAATGATGATCCTCATCGTTGGCTGCAAGATGCCAATCTCAGACTACATAGCATTCTTCGCGAGTGGAAAAGTCGCAACTTGATCGAGTGATGGAATCTGGAAGTGCAGGCCATGATCCTTTTGCTTGCGATATCTTGCGATATTTTTTCAGGTTGCAGGTATTGGGATGATTGCTGCAACAATAGGAGATTCTATAGCAGTGGACTTGCTCGCGCCATTGACTTGGATAACTCGACACAATGTTCTCAACAACCGCAATGTCCAGACTTCCTCCAGCACCAAGGGATGATGCTACATTGGCTGATTGCCGAAGGACGGAGATACTTTCCAGCTTTTTCCAACACGTGCGGATTTCCGCGGCATTTGGCCCGGTGCCATGTCAATATAGGGGTCAGAAGTGTCAGGACTCAAGTCAAGTCACATGACCGGAACATGGGTATGAACTTATGAACAAAGCAGTGAACCGTAAGTGCAGGTTCCTTTGGGTCAGTGCGGATTTGGCAGTTCAGCTACGCGTTGTGATCTCGGTTTGGGGTCATTTGCTCATCAGACACTAAACGCCTTCATTGACCTGACCAGACACTTTGATGAGCTCAGGACCCCGACCTCGACCAATGTTTGAAGGATGCTTTTGCAGAGGCCATTTTCGATCTTCAAGACTAGATGTATACAAATATACATTCATAAATTACAATCATACTATGATTTAATATGATTGTAATTCTATGTATGCATCCAGCCTTGATAATGTATGTAATATGTGATCAGAATCATGATAACATATTTGTATTTCGGGTTGTGATTCGTTACTCTACAGAAGGTCCTGAAGTAGTTCGTGTGAAAAATGCTCTAGTTGAGCCTTAGTATATGTTTGTATGTGTATTGTGTTTTGCACACACAGGTGCGGGCCCCCGGCCACCACCTCCTCTTCCCAAACACACCGCGCCCCTGGCGCCACAGTCTTTCACCTCCAGCGATCGTCCACGATCGATCCAGCTCGAAAGGTCGTCCTCGACCAGGCACCAACGAAATGGCGCACGCCGCGTGCGGAAAAGCCCCCCCGACTTCGAGCCCTTTCCTGCGACACCCACAAACACTGCTGTGCAGTGACCCTCACGAACGACAGAGCTGGTTGCTGGTGGATATACGGCTTAACACTCCTAAAAAATATCTATAGTTCAAACGTTTGAACTGTTCATGCAAATTGAGGTCACATTGTGCGATGGGCTCACACCAAGAACAGAGGTGTTTCAGTGTGTTCTACGATTGGCACTGCTTGGAATGGCTTGCGTCGTAATCATTCTGATTACTTCCCTCACACACATGGCAGACATTGGCCTCAGCTGCCGAGGCTTGCTGCATCCAAGCTTGTCTCAATCTTTTGTCAGACCGTTGTTTTAGCACCTCATCAACATCCCTGAGTAAACATCGGCCTTGTTCAAGAAATGTTCTCAGGATGGTGGTGTCCATAATAATATCCTTTGTGAGCGAATTCTTTCAACCGGTCTTATATCACTATAATGCTTCGAGAAGTGTGCGGTATTCTGAACAGGAGGGCGCTGCGGTTTTCAGAAGAAGGTCGTATAGACTCTTACAGTCCACGACAGCGTATGCCGCGGGCAGCTTTGTCAGGGTTTCTGCGGGCTTCTTCCAGTCCACTTGTGGATCCAAGAGCCAACTCCACATGAGCCTTATCCAGCTGAGTTGGTCCAACGCACCTGAAAGAGCATATGTTTCTAAAGCAAGTGTGCTTGACACTACACGGTTGATTTTGCGGGAACTCCAAATTAACGGACTTACCTGTGATCCCTTGCCGTCTTCGACGGATTGGGCGGTAGCAAGAATGAAGGTTCCTCTCTGTGAGTGTGCTCTCTCTCTGGTCGCAAAGGCAGCGTCGGAAAATGACAGGAACCTGACATCGTCAGGTGGGAGTGGCTGAATTCGGATTTGGACACGGGCATGTCTCTTGGCATCATCAAGCAGGCGGTTTGCAACAAGGAGATCCTCTATCGTGGCGTTCGGGATTTTTGCTTGCAATATTAAACTCAAACCTACATGAAAATCTCGTCGTGTGTTGGTTGCGGCATACTGGAGACTGCCAATTAGTCCACGTAGACTTTGGATTTCTTGGTTGGTGGCATTGGCCTTTTGATCTCTCCTGCGTTCCCGGGGAATTTCTGCTGGTGGTATGTTTCGGATGTATTCGGTTTGTTTCAACCGAATTTCCCCATTCGTCTCTTGACTCGCCTGAACCCCTGTGAAAGTAAACTTCTGTACCTTTCTACTGCCAAATGGGAACCTTTGCTCGAGTCGATCGATTGCTTGATTGAAGACTTAATCTCCCCCACAGATTCCGTCCTCTACATGGATGCCGAGAGCTCCATGAATCCTACATGGATCATTGGGGTTGATCTTGGCTTGATCTTTGGGCAAAACAAACAAGCAGGGATCTAGCGGCGACGCCTGAAACCCAAGTGCAATCAATGCGTTTCTGAGTTCAATGTACCACAACAATGGAGCATTCACGAGGCCGTATGCTCCTTCCAACAGTTCACAGGCTTCATTCTCACGGAGTCCAAGACGACGGCGCATTTCCACAGGAGGTTCTATGCCCAGTATTCGTGAGTCCTGCTTGCTACCCCTTGAAAGGCAGTGGAGATATCACTTGCAATGAGTTGTAACAAAAGCATTCTCGTATCGTATCTCTGCCCAATGTCGGACTATCACGTGGAAGCGACTCCATGAGGGGGCCTCGTATCCTAAAATTACGAGCCGGGCCGCTCGTCCAGTGGCTCCGGCGCCTGATTCCCGATATTGCGACGAATGGTCTCTGTTGAGATCCATTCATCTATTTCCTTAGTTTTTGCTTGTTGTAATTCAGCTCTCTCGGCAGGTGTTAGGTCTTTCAGTTTGACTCCCACTTTCTGGCGTCTTGCTGCAGATGCAACCAAAGCTTCTTGCTGTTGGTAACTGGCTTTGCAGCATTGTAGTTCTGACATAGTCAGTAGTACTTCACATTGATATCCATTAGCTCTGTTTTCCTTTGGTTGGTCATCTACGGTCATCCAAGCACTGTCCGATTTCGCATGTGACACATGTCGTGAACAAGAAGCGCCCAAAATCGCCAGACCCGCTCATTTATCGAGTCCCAGGTCAATGGAAAACACCCAGTGGAGACAGTTATTGGTGCTATCACTTCATTGACTCCGCGACCAATTTCCATGTAGCAACTGCCGTACATCAAGGTACCACGCAAAGTCTCGCCCAAAGCTTTGAAGACGCATGGATTCGATGGGCAGGACCCCCCCAGAGAAGTGATGTTTGACAGTTGTGGCGAAGCAAACAGCCAGGCTTTCAGTGATTTTCTGCAGGAGCATGATGTGAAAGCCTACCCAATCCCATCAAGGGCACACTGGCAACTAAGGACGGCCGAGCGTAATGGTGCAATCCCCAAAGCCATGTTAACAAATTATCACGCCGAACAACCGATCAAAAAATCATGAGGGTTTCCGACAGGCACTCCTGCATTTGTGTAATGCCACTCACTGTCTAAGCATGCCGGATACAGGTTCATGACCAATGCAGTCTAGTACCAATGACTTGACTTCATCAGGCATGCTTGGACTTGCATTCGCATCAGAATCACTCACTTCTCCTCCGGCAGGGAATAGCCGGCAGGGTCCTGAGTGTTCGACTCCAGATTGGGCGTCGATGGTGTCAGGACCTGAAGGATCTGCTGCAGCGCTGCTTCGAGACGATCGAGTCGTTGGGACTGTTGAGTGATCTCCTGATCTCGCCGGTCTTCCTCGACCCAGCGGCCCTCGTCCACCCACAACTCCGTCTCCTCGACGGTGGCCGGATGGATAGTGGCCGCTTTTTGGCCTTGGCTTGAGCATGTAGTGGGTGACTGGTCGGAGTCTTCCTCCTCCACACATCGTTTGATGTAGGTCACGAAGCTCTTGTGTGCTGTTGGGGCTGTCCTGGTAGCGAGCCAGGAACCAGCTCACATAGCGGGAGTCGCTCTGCCTGCAGGACTTCCTGATACGTCTGGCCCCTTGGCTTCCCCGAAGGAGATCCTCAGGCTGGCCAGCTCCTCCACGGTCATGCACACGACCACATCAGGATCTCCATCTTCTGCCATTTGTTCAACTGTTGTATCACCCACATAGTCACCAACAAATCAAAATTCCTCATTTGCCGGGAATGGCGTGGTTGACAACAAGGTGGTTTCCTCCTCTGTGAACAAAGCAGTGGTGTCATATGTCTTGGTTCGAGGGTTGTGCTGTTTGCCGGCATGGACCTCATGGAAAAAGCGGCTGCCCAAAAGCTTGAGGTTTGCTACCACATCACGATATTCCAAGGAACTCTGCGACGCGACGCTCAACCGTTTCTTGTCTTCGGCGTTCAACGCAGAGTTTCTCAACAAAATATAAGCACGGAATTCTTCCATCCCAATCTTCATCCCGATCAGTTCTTCGAATTGATGGATAGGATTTCTCGTCGGAATGTTGGGTCGTTCGGTATATGGCTTTTTCAAACCGTCAATCTTATCCTCCAGCTGTGACTTTCCCCAAATTCCACCCAGCGACTCCACGATCGCCTTGACCCCTTCAAGGCCGTTGCCCCTCAACACTTTGGGATCCAAGCGACACACGCGCTGAAAAGCCGAGCCCTCACATTGAAGTGCAATGGTGCCAACAAATGTAAATGCTTTGAGGGGGAACTCTATATACCTTCTTTGTCCACTCGGTCAGGTTGGTCTCTCCTTGTTTGAAGCCTGGTACTTGACTCCAAGGAAGATGACTAAGGCTGCTTGAACCGGCGCTCACAACGCCTTCAGCAACTTTCGGAGCCATTTCTCCCCTGGAACCCCTACACAGCTTCCGAGGTCAACGAGGAGGGAAAAACGAACCCCGGCCGTGTGGGGCTCACCTACCAATGTGTTTTGCGCACACTGGCGCGGGCCCCCGGCCACCACCTCCTCTTCCCGCGCCCCTGGGGCCACAGACTCGTCTCACCCCCAGCGATCGTCTACGATCGATCCAGCTCGAAAGGTCGTCCTCGACCACAAATGGCGCGCGCCGCGTGCGGAAGAGCCCCCCGACTTCGAGCCCTTTCCTGCGACACCCACAAACACTGCTGCGCAGTGACCTTCACGAACGACCGAGCTGGTTGCTGGTGGATATACGATCAAACAGTGTATGTATACACGTATATACACACATATGCATGCATGTCTACATAATATACAAGTAGTTCCCGGGCAAGCCGGCGGCGGAAGTTTCCTATAAGAAGAAATTGACCTATAGGAGTGTCCACGTTCTCTCCAACACGCGCGTCCTCCAGTCAAACGCACGCGCTCCGGACTTTTGACCCACGGGATTCCACGTGTGTAAGGTGTGTGTGCCCCCTGCGAGAGATGACACACATCCGGCCACCACGACTTGCCAAGGATGCGGTCCACATCGACACACATCCCACCGTGGCATTCTTCAGTGGCGGCAAACCTTGCATATCACACATCGGACTGAATGGAATCCGAATTTGAATGTAAAATCTGTCTTGAACTCTGAGACTATGTATGATGAGTCTTGTATGATGAGGGGTGTATGACAAGTGATGAATGATGAGTGGTGTAT